AGGCAACAGTTGTGAAACCTTTTGGTCTCACAACTCATTTACAAATTAAGGATGCCAAAGCTTTTGTTTTTGTGGGTTATACTTATAAATATTTGCCATACTAGAAATTAAGACAGAAATTTTAAAAATGTGTATTACTTGATTTAAAAATGATTTTATTACATGTTAACATTTTTAATTGAAAAATTAACAAAATATTTTAGTGAAGAGTGGTGTTGTTTTACAGTTTTGCAAATTTCTTTAATGTTTGCCTTAATAGAAGACAAGTAGATCTCATATCTGCTTCTGCGTTCAACCTCTTGTGAAACATTGTGTGTCGTGTGACCTCTAGAAAATTCTGTACACTTGTGGGGGAATGAGCATGAAAAAGGCAGTTAATATGTTAATATCACAAAAGTCATTTTGACCTCACAGATCCCCTGAAAGTGTAGATCCCAGACCACACTTTAAGAACCACTGAGTAGGCCATTAGAGTTTCTACTGTAAAGGCACCTACCACCCACCCCCTCATCTCCACAACTAGTGTCTTGCTTCACCTTTTGTACTGGCGAGAGTGGAGCAATTCGGGTTTAGTGCAGTACTTGAATAAAGATGGTTCCTCAGTCTTTTAAGTCCTTTTTAGCTCTTAAGTCCTGTAGTCTGGTTATTAATTCTGTATGCTAACAGAACAGTCATCAGAAAATGAAGAAAGATGTGCCTTCCTTTCAAACAAAAGTTGTCATGAGCAGGGGTGTCGGGACAAAGTTCCAATGGCTGAGTAACCTGTTGAAGAAATCCAAACTTGGGTGGAAGCTAAGCATTCCAGATCCATGGAAATTTTTAGGTATTTACATTTCATCAAAATCTCAAAACATGAATCTTGAAGCTAAAAATTACTCTGCTCAGACCCAGTTGGGCCAACTTTAATATGAATGTCCCTCACCGGAACATTTGACCTTTTGTGAGTGCAATTTATCTTTCTTGAATGCATCCTGGGAGATGGATTCAGATTATGGATTGAGAAATTTTACTCTGATGTTTTGAAAAGTAGCATCCTGACATGTGCCTTTATTAACTATTCATAGAACATTCATTCATCCATTTATTCAGCAAATGTACCTGGAGTGCCCAGAACCATACTAGGTGCTGGGAATAGAACAGCAAGCAGAATGACATCCTTGTACTCAATGGAGAGACGAGGATTCCATTATCGTAAGGGTTGGTGCTAGGAACAGGGTGGTTCTTTTATTTGGGTGGTCAGAGAAGCTTCTGTGATGAGGTTGGTGACATTTGAGCCGAGACCCAGCAAAGATGTCAATGCGGCTTGAAGCAGGCGAGGTCACGGAAGCGTGGGGCAGGGGGCAGATCATGGAGGGCCTTGCAGGCCATTTTAAAGGCTGTGATTCCTAAGGTAAGCGGCCATTGGGCGGGGTTGGAGGAGAGGCGAGGCCTATCAGACTGGCCTTTACCAAGAGCACTGGCTGTTCTGTGTGGACTGAGGGGAGCAGAAGGAGAGGCAAGGAGGCAGTTGGGAGGTCAATGCAGTAAATCAGGCAATGGGCTTTGGTGGCTCGGACGCTTGGCAGTGCAGAGGAAAAGATGTATTCTGGAACTAGTTTAGAGGTACAGCTGAGGGGATTTGCTGATGGATTGGATACAGGGTGTGAGAGAAAAACTGCAATTAAGGACTCCAAATAAGCTGAAGCTGGCTGGAGGAGCAGATACGGGAGGAGAAGTTGGGAGTCTGGTTTTGCTCTTACCAAGTGTGAGGTGCTTCTGAGACCCCCTGTGGCGACATTGGTGGTGGACCAGAAGATCGGTGGGGAGGTGCAGGCTGGAGGCACAAATGCAGGAACCGTCAGGATGGGAGTGTTACTTAAAGCTCAGACTGGAAGAGACCACCTAGGACATGAATGTAGGTAAAGACCCGGACAGAGGACCAAGCTCTGAGACATTCCCACGTTCTAGAAGTCAGCAGAATGAAGAGGAACCAGCCAAAGTCTAGGTAGGAGCAGCCCGTGAGGCGGGCGCAGAGTCAAGAGAACAGTCCTATTGGTCAAGTGAAAAAGCATTTAATTAAGAAGGGACTTGAAAGCTGCCAAATGGTGCAGAGAAGGAAAGGTGAGCACCCACAGTGTGCAGGCACTGGGCATAGAAGAGTGAGCCAGAGCACCAGGCACTTAGTATGCGTTCATGCTTCATGCTTTTTTTTTGGAATGACGATAATCCTTGCTTCAAACAATGCACAGTTGGAGAAAGAGCCCACATGTGCAAAGGCACCCAACCCAGCCAGGAAAACTTGTCTGGGGAGGCGGGGCTTCTTCAGCTGAGTCCTCAGTGGCTGAGAAGTACTCAAGTGGGTTTCTGTGTGCAGGCCTTCTCTTTGTTCTGGATTTTCGGGTCCCTCCCCTCTAGGCTCCCTAGGCAGCGATCCATACCTGAGAAATGAGAAACAGAGGGAGCCAATGACTGCCCTTTCTGATCAAAGAACAGAACCACAGACGAAGAAAAGACCTGGGAAAAAGCAATAATGGGATAGCTGTTTAAAAAGTGGTTTCGAATTCGTTCCAAGTTTAGTAAATTCCTCTCTGTTCGGGGAACTGGGTTTTCCTAAGGAAAAGTTGCTGTAATGCGCAGATGGCCTCCAGAGGCCTCCCTTTCCCTGGAATGCATTGGTTTAACAGGAGAGGCAAAAGCCTCTCTCGAAAAGCTCAGCACTGGTCGCCTAAAGCCAGTACCAAATTCGGCAAAAAATTTAAACTTTTAAGAAATCAAAATGTCCCTTCACCAATAACATAGTTTATCAGCTTAAAAAGTGAAAAACCACAGGGCAATGTTGAGTAAACGTGTATTGTGAAGAGTAAGAAGTAGTTAGGTGTCAAGACACTTAATATTTAGGGGGTGATTCTGACTTACCTCTTTGGTGACTATCTTATTAAGCATTCTAGTTTGAAGAGCAACTTATCATGTGAGCATAATATTAATAATAGCTAATATTTATTAGGTGTTTAGTGTGTTCCAAGCCTTTTTACGGTATGAAATTACCCAACCATATAAAGAAGATACTGTTATCCTGAATACTAATAATCCTTTGAGGTAGGTACTTTTACAGTTGAAGAATTTGTGGCTTAAGGAAATTAACAATTGGTCCAGGGTCACCCTTTGGTGACCACCCCTGTGGTCTAACTCCACAGCTACCTACCCTGCCCAGCCTGTGGTACACCTTCACGAATCCATGTACCACAGGCTGGGTAGGGTAGGAAGCTGTGGAGCTGTGTCTCTCCCTGTCAAATAAATAAATAAAATATTAAAAAGAAAGAAAGAAAGAGAAAAGAAAGAAAGAAAGAGTTTCTTAATTTGAAAACATACAGTGAGTAGTTCTTAACCAGGAATGAGTCAGATTCGTCTGAGGAGCTTTTAAAAAGAATACAACTGCCCAAGCCTTTTCCGGGAACAATCTATTCATTGGCTTGGGGTGGGGGGAGCTCTGGAATCTGGAATCTGTTTATGTGTTGAAGTTCAGCAGGTGTTGAACTTAAATCTTATGTGTACCCACCCTTGGTAGGGAACCACCGAAGGGAAGTGCACGGATGCACAGTGGCTAAATTTATCAGGCTGAAAAGCTCAGAAGGACACAGCCGCCACCCCGCCTTAGGACAGGATTATGGTGATTCACCCAGCATTTAACTACAAAGCCTATTGAACTTGGGCAATTCAAACTCCTCTAACTTCTGCTTGGAGATGTTGCTTTCCTCTCTTCTTGAGAGCAGAACTGGAAAGAAACGTGTGATTCTCCAGAGACCTCGGTGAGAAGTGGCAAAAGCAGAGCTCTCTTGGGGTCGGCAGCGAGGCAATCTTAGAAGTGAATTTGTGTAAGCAGTTCAGTCCATCCACCTGGCGGGATGGTGAGTCCAAACCTAGATGATGCAGTGTTTATCCGCTGCTACTTGCTGCCTGTCCCCTTGGCGAACAGCCAGCGATAGTGAGCTCAGAGGCTGCGTGTTTCTGCCTGGGGGTGAAACGTGGACCCAGAAGGGGCTCTTTAACAGCGAAGGAACCAGGAAGGACTGGGAGTCCGCTGGATGAAGGGAGAGAACATTTCTGTCCATTTCTGAAACAAGAACAAATCTTCCGCGGCGACTTCAAGAAGCCTGAGTCATCGTGGGATTTGGAGTATGTCAGATTAAGTTTGAAGTCAGATAATAGTCCAATAGTTCTCAAGTGCCTTCTGCGCTTGCTTTTTTAGTGATTTCTATCCTTCCCCTCCTCCATATCTCTCCATCTCCGCTCCCCATCCCCCACAACAGCTTCCTGTTCTTGATGGCTCCTACCTTTCCCAGAATTACTCTATGCTCCTGTTAACCCTGGGCTCAGTTGGGATTTCCAACCTTTAGTCCTGGCCACAGCTTCATGTCACAGAGATTTATTTGTCCCTTTCCCTGAAGTTTGGTGGGAACCTGAGTGCTGGGAATCCACCCAGGCCCTTCACTCCTGTCCCTGCCCCAAGAGCTTTCTGAAGTCTGGCCTCACAGACTCTGAAGACACCAGAGAAAAAGAAAACTTGGAAAGGGGATATTTTTTTAAAAAATCACAGTCCTCGAGTACTGCGGAGACAAACTCATTCTCGAGTATTGCGGAGACAACCTCATTCCAAATAACCAGCAACCCTGTGTCTCAGAGATAAAGAAGGGCTCCTCGCCCCTCAGAGGAGAGAGCCAGGGAGCGTTCGGTGCCTTCTGCAGGCTCTTTCCAGGGTTTTCCCGGGGGTGTGGAGAGGGATTGGGGGTTGTGCATGAGCGCTGGACTCGGTTTTCTCTATCTTCCAGACTCTGTTTCCAGAACCTCACTTCTCTTCCCGAGTTCCCCCCTCTGCTTTCAAAAGCATATGTGAAACCATGCCCGTTCCTTTCTCTTTAGGTCACCAGATTCCTTTACGGGACTGGCAGTGTGTATAGCCCCAGGTCCTGTTAGGGCATGTGAGTGCTGGTGGGGCTGCGATTTGCCAACCTCTACGCTCTGGGGGATTTTAAGTGTTCCAGGACTAGCTGTTCTGCTACTCCTAGTTTTCCCTCCCCTCCCCTCCCTGGCCCTTCTGCCCCTTCCCCTCCTGCAGACTCAGGGGACCCCGAAGGTGGAAGGGAGCTCCTACCCAGGGGGAAGAAAAGCCATCCAATTGCCCCAGCTGCCCACACTTAGTTCTCAGCTGCCCTTCCTCGCCCCTCCAGCTACTCCCTGGGTCTGAAGCACTAGCCCAGTTTGAAACACCCCTCCCGCTTTGAAGGAGGCTGGGCTAGCCAGGGGGTTATTTTGGGAGCAGCTTCTGAGATCCAATGGCCTTGTTAGGGCAACACTGACCTTTCCATCCCAGGAGGAGGGCAGGATCCAGAGGGGCGGGGCAGTGGCAGGGAGATCGACAGCCCCGCACACCCACTGGGTGGAGAAGGGGGCCAGCTGGCTTCAGGAATTCAGCCTCAGGCTGGGGGCTGTCACCAAGGAAGAATTTACCCTCTTCGAAACAGACTGGGGACCCCTCCACCCCACCCCTTTCACTGTGCTTCTTAAAGGGATCACACCGTTTTTCCTTTGACTCCAGGGAAGCCAGACTTGGGACACTCTATGGAGACTTTGAATCTTTCCCTCCTGCTTCCTTCCCAACTGGCAGCCTTCCTCTGGCTGGTTGAGTGGGGACCTCCCAGGCATGGCACTGACCAGCCGACCCGGTGCTGACTTGGCTCCTGGGCTCATTCAGCCTCTGGTGGCATCTCGCTTTCTCCCTCCTGGGGCACAGTGGTGAGTCAGGGGCGCCCAGCCCTGAGTGTGCTTGGAGCGTGTCACTGGCACCCCCCATTGCCCTCTCTTCCCCAAGCTGGAGGACGGTGAGGCTGTCAGGGGCTACGATGAGATGAGTGGGGGCCGCTTTGACTTTGATGATGGCGGGGCATACTGTGGGGGCTGGGAGGGGGGAAAGGCCCATGGACATGGACTGTGCACGGGCCCCAAGGGCCAGGGAGAATACTCGGGCTCCTGGAACTTTGGCTTCGAAGTGGCGGGCGTCTACACCTGGCCCAGTGGGAACACCTTCGAGGGATACTGGAGCCAGGGCAAACGGCATGGGCTGGGCATAGAGACCAAGGGGCGCTGGCTCTACAAGGGCGAGTGGACGCACGGCTTCAAGGGACGCTACGGAACTCGGCAGAGTGGCAGCAGCGGGGCCAAGTATGAAGGCACTTGGAACAATGGCCTGCAGGACGGCTATGGCACCGAGACCTATGCAGATGGAGGTGAGCCCAGCCTGGGGCCGGCAGAGCTAGTAGGAGCCAGACCAGTGAGGAAGACTGGTGGAGGGTGGGAAGAGGGAGGGGCAAGGTGACACAGAATCAGAAGAGCCAGGATGTTCTTTGCTGTGTGGCGCTGGGCACGCTGCCTACCTCTCTCAGCATCCATTTCCTCGTTAGTAAAGGTGGGGCCAATAACAGGGCCATTGAGCAGTGTTTAGGACAAGACCTGCTGTAACACACTCAACGCACATTCAGTAAAACCTAACTACTACTGTTTGCATGCTGGGATGACAAACAGCCATGGAATATACCCTGGCTTGTGCTCTAGAACAGTGTGGTTCTAATCTCAACTCTGCCATGAAAATTATTTTCAAGCAATAAATCATGAAGTATTTATTCATTCACCCATCCATCCATCCACCCACTCATCTATTCATCCACCCACCCACCCACCCATCCATCCATCCATCCATCCACCCATCTATCCATCCACCCATCTACCCATTCACCCACCCATCCACTCATCCATCCACCCATCTATCCATTCACCCACCCATCTACTCATCCATCCATCCATCCATTGTTTTGTTTAGAGCATATTTCTGTGGTACCTCCTATTTGCCAGGTATTATAAAAAGAGTTAGATTTAAAGAGGAATAAGATACAGCCCAAGGCTTCAAAGATAGACTCGTAGACAATTATACACAAGTAGGTACAGAGTGCTGGGTCAGAGAAGTTAGATTTGAGGAGGTCAGGGACTGCTTTAGAACAGGTGACATCTGAGCTGGATCTTGTTGGGAAAATTGCTTTAGAGAGGGTGTGAGTGGGGAGAGAAATGAGTAAGAAGCTCAAAAGCATGAGCCTGCCCGGTGAGTTAAGGAGATGAAGAGGAATTTTCTGTGGCAAAACAGCTGTGGGAAGTGGCAGAGAAGATATCATCACCTCATCCACTGAGCATGACTTTGCATATATCACTTAGTTGGGCCTCTGTTTCCTCATCCACAAAATGGGCTTTAGAATGTCAGGTGCTGCTCAAAATACAGCCACTAGACAGGCAGTATCAACATCATCTGTCCATCAGTTAAAAAAGCAAACTCAGGGGCCCCACCTAGACCTGAATCTGAATCAGAATCTCTAAGGGTAGGCCCAGGCATTTGCTTTAACAATCTCCCCTGAAAAATTTTGTATACATTAAAGTTTAAGAAGCATTGCTTTAAATCAGGCACTTGCAAACTATAGCTAGCCAGCCAAACTGGCCTGATGCCTGTTTTTGTACAGCTTATAAGCTGAAAGTGGTTTTACATTTTGAAATAGTTGGAAAAAATCAAAAGTAAAACTCTACTTTGTGACATGTGGAAATTATATGGAAGTCCCTACATAATATCCTTTTGGCCCACAAAGCCTATAATATTTACTATTCAGCTATTTACAGGAACGTTGGCTGGCTCTGCTTTAAATGGTCATTCAGTTTCCTTCCAGCTCAGGGTACTTTTCTGAAGTCTCCTTAACATGCCCCACTGGGAAGAGGAGCTGACACAGATAACTCAAAAACTATAGCTGCTTTAAAGAAAATATTTTGGCGTCTGTCAGAAGGCATTCATAGTATATTTGCCACTCGTCTCCCCTCTTTAGGACAGAGGGCAGGAAGTGGGCAGTTTGGGAGTGGGTTTGTGGTGGAGCAGGAAGGAAGGAGCATGAACCAGCCCACGGTGGAAGTTATGCTCAAGCTGAGGCCTGTGGGCCTATCCAGAGGGGCCTCAGGTACAGCATGGGCTCCCTACTGGGCTGCCCCCTGGTGGGTGTCTGGCGAGGGCCCACCTCAAATGTGTCTGGATGTGGGTGAGGTTGCGTCCCCGGAGTTTCTGTGGGCACAGTGGTGGTGACACAGCACTGGCTGGAATCGGACAGCGCTGAGGACAAATTCTGGCTCCACACTTCCTAATTCGGTGACCTTCAGCCGTTTGCTGAACCTCTACAGTTCGGTGCAACTCAATTCCCTGGATGTTTATGCTGGACACTGCGCTGAGCACTGGGAACAAGTAGGGAGCAGGCCCCAGTTTCTCTGGCTAGAACATGGAGATGATCCTTGAGTGCTTTGGGGTGTCGGTTACCTATGCAAAGTGGTACACAGTAGGCCAAATGTTCCTTCCTTCCCTCTTTCCTCTCTCCAAACCAAGGTGTGTGTGTTGGGGGCCTGGGTGTGAGTCATAGAGACACACATTTCTGAGAAACCATGGACTGATTTCCCAATATGTCTTAAAGGGGGGAAACCTATTCATTCACTCATTCATTCATTCATGCAACCAATATTACGGAGCACCAACTACGCGTGGGGCACCATGCCACAGCAAGTTCCAGGAGCCAGGGCAGTGAGCAAGCAAAGGTCCGAAAAAATAGAGAAGGAAGGGGATGACTTTTTGGATAGCGTGGTCTGGGGAGCCGGTGGGAAGCCTCCGGAGGGCGAAACACCTTCCAGGCGGGGAGGGAGTGGCACTTGCAAAGGCCCTGAGGCAGACCTGGACTTGGCATGCTTGAGGAACAGCAGGACTGCCAGGGTGGCAGGAATGGAGTGGATGAAGGGAACAGGCAGGGGCTGATGGTGGAGCTGTGGGCGTGAGCCAGATCACGTAGGCTTTGCAGAGCCCTGGGTTTGACTCTGGGTGTGCGCGGGAGGTCTTCAGGCCAGGTTAACTGGAAGACTTGCTCCTCTGGTTTGTCAGAGGCCCAAACTCTTCTTCCAAATGAGACGGTCCCACATCCAGGGGCCCTGGAAACCTTCACAGATCTCTCCCAAGCCACACACGAGGTGCAACTCTCCAAAATTAGATGTGGCCACTGCTTCGGAAAATCTCTTTAATCAACCTGTCATCAGTCCCCTGAGGGTTTGTTAAGGACCTGCCCTTTGCCCCATCCTGAGTAGTGCTGGAGAGAATGTAGACAAATAAGATCCTGTGATTAGAAACGGCTGGGAGCCAGGCAGCCCTGGGTTATTACCTTGGCCTATCCTATTATTTCATATCGTGGAGCCTTAGTTTCCTCACCAATAAAATGGACTTATGCTAATCTCTCCTAAGATTTCTCATGGGTAAAATGGGTACTCAATAAATGGTAGTTGCTATAATTACCATTAAGTCTCATGAATTCGCTCAATAAATATGTACTGAGTGATTATTATGAAGCCAGCAGTATAAGTGCTGGGAGGGAGGAATGTAGAAATGAACAGAATGGAAAGGGTCCCCACCTTCCATAGAATCTACAAGAAATCATACTATAGGGTGTCAGGTGCTATGCAGGAAAGTACTGGGGACTAAGGGAGGAAGAGACGGGCAACTAACCAGACTGAGGCAATCAGGGAGGCTTTTTGGAGTAAGTGGCAAGCTGGGCTCCGAAGTACGGAGTGAGGCAGGTGACAAGGGTGGAGGATGAGTGTTCCAGGTTGAGAGAACAGAGTGCACGAAAGCCAGGAAGTCTAGAACGTGCTGCCAGCCAGGAGATAAAGCTGAAACTTGTATCTTATCCCCAGTTTTAGGAAGTACTGATCAAAGGGACAATATGTCCCATTCCTCCACTCCCCACCTTACCTTGCAGCCAAAGGAAACAGCAGTTTTCCAAACCAGAGGTATTGTCCCATTAACAGGTGGTAACCTCAATTTAGTGGGTCGTGACCTGCATTTTTAAAAATGAAAGAACTAGAAGAGAAAAAGCAGAGTGTTTCACAGAGCATAAGAGTATTGTTTGTTCAGCTGAAGATACATGTACATACATAATGTGTGTGTGTATAAAAACTTGTGTGTTTACACGCATCGTGTATTTCTTACATGATGTGTGTATAAATGTATTTCTTACTGCAGGTCATGGTCAAAAAAGTTTGAAAATCACCGTTCTAAAGTGACTTCATGGAGCCACTGCCACTCCTACAGCCACAGCCTCTCCATCTCCTCCACTCTCCAGCTCTCCCCTGGGAGGGGAAGGTGGTGAAGGCAAGGAGCTCCCACTCCCAAGCTCCTGAACCCTGCTGTAAGCTGCCTGGCACCCCTCCCCCCCCATAGCCCCCTTCCTGCCCTGGCCATATATAGCCAAAGTAAAAATAGCTGCAGGCCTAAATCGCCAAAGCAAGCATACACCCCGGCCTTAAGTAGTAATGCTCCTTTGGCTGCCTAGCTGTTCCCACCCCAGAGACGCACAGACTCCAGAACTGGAAGGGCCACTGGTGATCTTTGCTTTCCGAGGTCCTTGACCTGGAGCCACGGCCTTGGCCGCAGAGGCCCATCAGCGTGTAGGCAATATGTGTGCCTATGTGCATGGACTGTCTGTGTTTTTCCTCAGATAGCCATTGGATTCTCAAAGTAATCTGGTGCTAAGTTCCAGAAGCACTCAGCTAGTCAGTAATCCCTTCCCCAAAATGTGCAATGGAAAAACCAGGCCCAGGGGTGCCTGGGTGGCTCACTCGGTTAAGCGTCCGGGGCTCTTGATTTCGGCTCAGGTCATAATCTCAGGGGTCGTGAGATCGAGCCCTGCGTCAGGTTCCATGCTGGGTGTGGAGCCTGCTTAAGATGCTCTCTCTGCCTTCTCCCTCTGCCCACCCCTTGCTCTCTCTCTCTCAAAAGCAAAAAAAAAAAAAAAAAAAAACCCAGGCCCAAGGTGGACTTTGTTCGTAAAGCCAATAATAATAATAATAATAATAATAATAATAATAATAATTGATTTTTGGTGTGCTTACTATGTGCCAGGTGCTACTCTTGGCATGGAACATGTGTTATTTAAACCTTCACAACTGGAGTGCCTGGGTGGCTCAGTCGGTTAAGTGTCTGCCTTTGGCTCAAGTCATGATCCCAGGGTCCTGGGATGGAGCCCCATACTGTATTCTCTCTCACAGTCCTCTAACTAGTAAGCGGCAGAGATTGAATTTGATGGTAATAAGTAATAATTAAAAAGTTCATAGTTTATGGGGAGCCTAGGTGGTTCAGTTGGTTAAGCATCAGACTCTTGGTTTCAGTCAGGTC